GTTCAGAGTAGGAGAGAGTGTCACGTGTCCCCATTCTCTTTTTGCTGTTGGTTGGTTTGGGTTTTTTTTGGGGAAGGGGGTTTTGTTTGTTTTGGTTTTTGTTTTTAAGGCTCAAATTGCAGACATAAGCACAACCAAAGGACTTCATGCGATTTCAGTGTGTTGCTGATCTCAGAGCAACAATTACTTTGGTTTTCTCATAACAGAAACTACTGGTAAGGCTAACACTGGCATCTTTGGATTTTAGGCAATGACTACAGAACAGTAATTGTGGGTCAAGTCACTGAAAGAACAGTACATGTAAGAGTTGGTCTTGGTAATTATTTATTACTCAGGGCTAGTGTTTGCCACTGCTTCTGCAGACAACCAGGGGACCACTCAAAACTTTCCTGCAGCTCCAGCTCCTGTGTTTTCCAGGCAGCCTGTCAAGCTGGTCTGCCATGTGAGCCTGCCTTTGCTACTCTTTACAATTCTTATTGTAAAGTGCCTTATTGGTGCCTAAGAAGTAGCCTAAACTACACAAAATTATTTTGTGGCATACATAATCACAGGTTTTGTCGCTAGGACATTTTCAGAAGGCTTACAAAGAGATAAGGCAGTCTTTGAAGGAAGCATTGGTGACCTTCAAGGTAAAGTTTCAGAAAGTGTGCTTGCTCCAGAGAGTTTTTCAGATCCCTTGAGCTAGAAGAAATCAATTCCAGAAGAAACAGCAACCTTGGCAAGCCGGCAAATTCAACTATCTTTTCAGCTGTACTCAACATGGAAAACAGTGGACGGGCACTAGGCTTCTTGCTGATACTTTAACAGAAAAGGCAGACCACTGGCACTGAAACTGAGAAGGGAAAGAAGCAAGTAATATCCAGGCTAAACCACTTGCTGGATTGCGCTGTGTACTTTGCAAGCGCCAGTTCCGTTTAGTTGCAGAAGTGATGAGTGGGGATGTGCACACTGTGCACTCGTAAACCATACACAGATCTGACGAGGTACACCAACATAGACAAATAAACCACCACTGGGCATTTTTTACATGATGCAAGTTACAAACAACACATCAGAAAGCTGTTACTTTTAGAAATCAACAAGGTAGGGGTTGTAAAGAGAGATTAATGTCTCAGCATTTCAGAGCACAGATTAAATTCCTAATAAAAATATTAAATGCTGCTTCTAAAGTAAAGTTCAGAGAATGTATACGGCTTTCTTTCCAAAATTCATGTTTTTGTCAGGAATTAAATATTTCATTGCATTAAATCAAATTAAGTTGCCTTAAAAGTAGTATCTTTCTCAAGACATGTCTGTAATAACTATTTTTCACCTAACACAGGACAAGAAGGGTTGATGGAAGCTGTATCTTTGCTGCTGAGTAAGCAGAGCAAAAGTCAGCAAATACTATGCAGTCTTATCCCTACACTTCCTTCTCTCTCTCTCAGATGCAGAGGCTGCCATCACCTGACCCTTCCCTTCCTCACTCATACACTGGAACACTTTGAATCTCATGTGCCAGAAATTTCTCATTTTTTTGCTTATTTCGAAGTCTTTTAATTTATGATACAATTTTTGTCTGCTGCTTGAATTGCTGTCACTTAGCACATGTTTTAGCTCGGTATTTTTTCCTGCTGCAGATTTCCTTATACTATCAAAACATCTATTTTTTTGATGTGCTACCTGCTCCAGTCCAGGATGTGTTAGTGTTTGGTCTTGTGCTCAGAGAGGAAAGCAAAGGAAAAGTTACAGTTTTGGTCGCAGCCACAGATTTAGAAGTCCCAGTTTCATGACATGTGTCTGGGGAGATGGCTGGGAAAGACCCAGCACAGATATAGTAAAAATTAAAATGAACAGCTAAGCAGTAACATCCTGAGACAGACTGATCCTAAGTAGTCTGTGTAAATGCAGCTCAAAACAGTGGTTAAGATAGGAAATATTGCAGTCAATACAGTGTACCCACAAAGCATTTGGATCAACTCTCTTCAAACTGTTGTGTCCCCTGTGTCTTTTAAGTTGATCAAGCCCATGATGGACCATTACAACAGCCCAGCTGGATCAGACCTCCAGTCTTTCACACTATGGCAATTCACTCTTTGGGCTCTCCTCCCCTGAAGAATGCACCAGATGGCCCATCATTGACACCAAATCTTACTGTTGTCACATTGGTGTAGCTGCATCCACATATTGCAAACATAGTTTGTGGGCTGGGTCTATCAATCATCAAATTAACCGTTTAAGAATGGATTAACAGTGAATGTGACTGGGCAGTTCACTTGTTCCACAGGCTTTGTTATTTTTCTAGATGCTAGACTGTGCCAGTGGCATGAAAACAGTATTTTGGAAGAAAATAGCTTCTAAACAGTGTTATTTATTATTAAAGCAGGTAATTCTGAGAAACAAAATGGCTTTAATTGAGACTGACCAGTAAAAAAAAGCAAGCTGAAGATCAGTGATTCATCCATATACTTGGATTTTCTACTTCTAATTTATTTTTGTGCCTACTGAACAACAAGATGTGATTTTGGTTGCTTTCACCCCACTGCTGCACCCTGACTTTATAAGACTGATACCAGCTTTTGGCCAACTCCCAGCACAGGAAGCTCATCTGTGATGTGACAAACTTCTTTATGAAGTTGTGAGAGAGCAGCAGGAGGCACAGAAAATACACAAAAATGGGAGGGAGAGAAGAAAAGCAGCACTTCGGTTTGACTGCTCCGCCATCACAGCTAAGTCAAAAGAAATGGCTGGTCAGCCTGGAACAAACATTATTCAAGATAAGATAAGAGAAGCAAAGGTAGAAGACAGTGCTCACAGGACAAATACAGCTCACAGCCTGCTTTCACAGTGCCTAAATCCATGTGATATCTTTCCAACAATGAATTCAAGTAGACCACTAAATGGTCTGAACAACTTCTGCCTTCTGTAGGAGTAAGATTTCACACCCTCAGAGCAGGCGCTGCCGAAATGAGCAGAATGCACAGATCTGTATGGCAAGCCTACAGGAAAACAGTGGATCAAGAGGAAACTGGTTTGTGTTAAATAACGTTTATTTCAAGTTCACTTAAACGTATTTACTTCAGGCCAAAAAAACCACAATCCAATCTTAAAACAGAAACAAGTGTCAATTCATATAACCACACCAGTTAACCACTGGTTAACTAAACCACTTGAAACCTACACGTTACGTATGGACTTTGTGGTCCTACAGTTGTATCCATACTAAATGTCCATCACATAGCTGGTAGGATTCTGATAACCACCAACAGATCCTCTCCAGCTCTAATGGTTTGTAGAAACACAGTGATGCAGCAGGGACAATGGCATTTTGGCCCAGGGCTACGTGCAGCTCTCAGAAGGAAACTGCAGTCACGGCACCCCAATGAAACCAAACCCAGACCAAAGCAGGAGCAGAAGGTCCAGTTAGCACACCCCCCTGCAGCTGGAAGCCCACAGAAGAAAGCCCCACTGCAGGTATCAAGCCTACTCCTCACTCCCTGTAACTCTTCTGCAGAACTGACACAATTAGGTCACTTAGTGCCACTGGAGATGTAAACAACCATTACTGAGGATGCATTTCCCTTTTATACCTGAGTTTCAAATCCTGCACCACATTATGCACAGCAAGTGTTTTACTTACTCGGAAAGCACTCTGTAAATACAGTACTGTCCTTGACAGGGTCTGTATTATTGTTCTAGCAGGAAAACAGGATGGAGAATGGTTAGAGGTTTTAGTCATCTAGATTAAAAAATACAACTCTTGCAATTGTAAAAGCCAGTTATTAACTGACCGCTGAAATCCAGAATTTCATCTACATTATAGAGAATAAAGCTATTCAAGGCTGGAAAGTTATCTAACTTAGATAACTTTCCAGCCTTGATCTTTCTTAGCCAAGCTTACTGAGAAAAGACAGCACTCCTTAGAATTAAGCTTTGATACATGATCCCACTCATGGTTTTTCCACACTGCTAACAAACCTCTATTTCAGAGATGTAGGACAAGTCAATTACCACCCAAGGTTGGAATGACAGAAGCTCTAGTGATGCTCAGGTGGTCAAAATAATTCTGGAGTGTTAATTAGCATTTACAGTGTTGTTCAGATGCTGTAAGTCCCAAAGACTTATTTTTTCAAGCAAACCTATTACTCTAAGAAGAGATATTTAATGTGTACAACTCGCCTTGGTCCTAAGGATCTGTGACTCTGGAAATCCTGGAGAAAATGAAAGAATCCTTTTTTGAAGGAAAATCATTGCTTATGCACATATGCCATAGTACAAGATACTGACTTCTGACGGAAGCCTAAAGACTGCCTTATGTTTTTTTAAAGATAGTGTACAGGACTCCAAATTATCTTTATGGTTATCCTGCATTAGTTACAAGGTTTAGTGCAAATACTGATGGATAGTTTTCCTGAGAAAATCAAGATGCTTTCTTTGCAAGCTGACCTGGACTATTAACACCAACCTACCATGATTTGCATTAAACCCCTGCGATTCAGGTGTGGGAAGCTCACAAAAAAAGACCTCAGCTGGGAGAGGATCTTGCATTTCTACTCTAAGGTTAAGCACTGGATTACATACCTACTGTTGACATCTTTTTCCCAGCTGGAGGGTCAAACAGATCTTCCAACTTGGCACATTCTGTGATTCATCTTCATCTACCCAGAGAGGGGGAGACAAGGGGCTTTCTCTCATCTGGAATGAGTGATTTGCCTTCCTGCCTCCCCACCTCCAAAGAGTCATACCTGCAACCAGTGGCCAGACAGATCCAGCAAATGCCACGTAGTCCTAAATCCTTGGGCAGCACAACAACTCGTGCCTCAGCCATTAAACACCAGTCTTATTATTTCACATGTCTGAAGACATGTGAGGGTGTCTTTGGACTGTGCATGAGAGACAAGGCTGTTAGACTCAGCTGTTCTCAAAGCACGATCGCAATGACACTACGTGCCAAGGTGACTATTTATACACAAGTGCCTGGCACGTCATAGGCGCTGGCATTATCAAGATGTTCTTCAGTGCCTGGGACTTGCAGATACGTCCCTTCTCCCCATAATCACTCCCCAACACCTCCACTGCCACCTCACCTATTCACATGTCATTAGCAGAAATTAATTTCTTCTGGGAAAAGACACACTTGAGAAAACAAAGCCTTCCCCTCTGGAAAGACAACTGAAGTCATTAAAACAGAAGCTAAAGTTATGACTAATTTAAAACCATACATCACCATTACACAATTAAAACAATGAGACTATTAGAAGGCAAAACTTACAACCTGGTGACTGCTGCTGTATGCAAGAAGCAAGGTAGGTGAGCAGCTAGGGCCTCCCTGTGGGAAAGGAGGAGCAGGAACTTGAAAAATGCGTGGGCAGCACACAAACAGAGGTCAGGGTAAATTACTCATTGTCAATTCTACAGTAAAATAGATGGTTTATTATAGGAGTAGAACGTCTGGCTTTGAAACGTAGTTTCAGCTATGAGTGCATCTTCCTAGACATCTCTGGTAGAGAAGAAAGGGAAAGGAAGAAGTAATTTTCTCAAGCCACAAATTCTTTCAATATCAGGAAAAAGGAATTCCTTCACACTACAAAAGAGCAGGCATGGAGCGCAAATTGCTTCCTCTTTTTATGAACAAGAGAGAAGATCCATAATGAAATCATTGCTGGTTTACCTGTTCTCAAACAAATGGAACTCCCTGGTGTGCATCCTACCCCTCAGCTTTGTGACGATCTGTAACACCAGGCACATGAAGACACTGAGCAAAGAGAAACTCCCATCAATCTGATCAAGTACTTCTTTTCGAACCAGGTCCACAGAGTGATGCTTTTTGTAATAGCTTTTTCAAGGTTCATATCTATTGATGAATTCACTTACCACACTGGGAGACAGTTTGACAAAAGTCATGCTGAGGTACCAGTGGAACAATGTGCAGTGCTGCTGTACTGTGGACACCTTGAGCAACACCTGCACAGCGTCGATCCAGAGACATACCCTGTTTAACTGCAGACTTTCAGCAAAGCAGAGGAAAACAAGCAAGAACATAGTATGTGTGTTATTTATGTCTGTCCCCTAAGTACTGAAGGAGTTAGTGCACCAGGGAGCAAGTCAAGGACAGCACAAAGGCTTGCAGACAGCTCTCCTTTCTCTGTGGAGAACAGGCCAAACAAAATCAGAAGGGAAACTGAAACCAGCAGCCCTGAGGACATTTAAGGGTTCTGTGAAAACATTTCACTAATTAGGCCTCAAGAAGAAAAATACTGGTTTGAATTTCTCCAAGTTGAAAGAGGATCCCTGGAGGAATACTGTGCGAACTGCAGAACCATTTGTGATTTCATCACTGGATTATGTTCCATTAAAACTTCCACTGTTCAACCTGGCATACAGAAGTCTGGACAAGTAGGATTCTGACAGCTAAACTTAGATGTTGAGTGTCTTTGTGAATGCTCACAAGGTGTCCTACTTTTCAGCTCCTGCTCAAGAAGAGGGTGCATCAACTGCAGGTCATGTGCCAGCCTCATACAAGTGTTTTGGATCCCTCTGGACAGTCACCTTGAAAGGCACAGTCCCGTACATCAGGCCATTGACCTGTGCCCGAACTGCTGGATGCTGCACAGGCAGAACTTTGGTGCTACACGCAGTGTAGACAGATTCCTCAGGAGACCCTGCTCCTTCTGCAACATCTCCCACCATGAAGGTTTGTCTGTGCCAGGGCTGCCTCAAGTGGTTTCAGCTCCAAGCTGTCTTTGCAGTCTCTCTGCTTCTTCTTTCCCTCCCACAGATGCTTGATTTTAACAGCACAGAGAGCTGTTGACCAAGCGTGTGATTCAGCTGGAGCTTCTGCCAACAAGGAAATCGTGATGGCAGTCCGCTTTCTGTGGGTGGAGAGGTCACACCTGCAACCACCAATGAAGTGGCATGACAAGCTTTTTATTTTCGCCTTTCTGTCTTTCAATGTCTATATCCAAAACATGAAAGTTTTGTAAACATACTAATCAAGGATTCTTCTGGGGTTTTTTTCCCCTCCAAGCTGGGGAAGAAGTATGCTTACAAAATGCTTAAGTTCTGTGTAGACATTTAGCAAGCAACGAAACAAAGATCCAGAGCCAAACACTACGCAGCAAACTTGTGCATGTAGCTCCCTGTAGACATGAAGCATGATTTGCTTTTCCAAGACTTATTTTGCCAGGTAGTCTGAAAATTCCTGTAGGATACATAGCTGTGCTTTTCTCTTTGTATTTTTATTGGAAGAACAAAAAAGCTGAGGGTTTGTTTTTTTTTAGATAATAAAAATATGCAAAATGTTTAATGAGAAGAAAGAAAAAAACACAATATCCTAAATTATCGAGACCTCTTTTACTTCTCTGTTCACTAAAACCTTATGCATACTGTACATCACACACATGGAAATAAGATCTGTGTGACACATTGCAGAGATATGATACACCGAAGTTGTCACCTGTCTTATACTTCCTGCCTGCTCCCAGGAAGCAAGGAACAGCCCCAGAAGTCCACGCTGCTGAGTAAATGTTCACAACTTTTTCTGCTTTGTGATTTATCACAGCATGGGTTTTGCTCTTTTGAGGTTTTAATTGTTTTGTTTTCATTTGCTTTTTAAATCAACTGACTACTTCCTTCTTTCACATGGAGAAATTACAAAATTGCATGATAAAGAAGCAGGGAAGGTTGCAGTCACCGCTGAAATGACGGCAATTACGAAACATACCGAGCAAAAACTGACTAAAGTGAGGCCACGAGACTGATTCAGCCCCTTATGGTCAGAAAGGCCCCAGCTCCTGCATTGGTACCCTTGGCAGTATCCCTCATTCCCCAGGAGAAGGGGAACACCACAATGAAGCAATTGCCTGATCTGCAGGCTCAGGCCAAAGGCAACGCTGTTCCGTGGCAGAGGCAATAAGCTGCCAGGGGAAGAAAGGAGTGAAGCATCAAGGAAAGGTGCTCCAGGGTTGCTTAGCTAGGTGTGTTCAACTGATGACTGCCCTGCCTATGTCTAGAAAAACTATTCTGCAAGAGATCCATGTGCAGCAGCACATAAGATTTCTTGAACAGTCTTCACCTTTAGTATCCTCTGTTCCTCATCTGTTCAGGGATAGCACTGAACAGCCTTCCATCAGTCATGTCACCAGTCCTGGCTCAATGGTGGCAATCCACCAAAAGGTTGCTTCATGATTGCCAACTGATGGCTTGATTCAATGCTAACCTTGTTCTTACGCCTGAGAATTGCTCAGTTTTACCCACATCCTCAGTAGCTTTTGCTCAGTATGGCATAGTGCTTGGGAAGGGAAATCTCAGGATGCTCAGAAGCCTCGGTACAGCAGGGCACCGCTCACATGCTGACCTGCACACTGCACCTACACTAAAAGCATCTCATCACTATATGCATGGAGAGATCTCAGAATTAGCTCAAGCAGATACAACAGGCTAACCTCCAGAACAGCTGTTCTTCAGGAATTAATGTGGAAAAGAGCAGCTGTTTTGCAATGGTAGAAGAACACAAAGCCTTAGTAGTAATATTTTCAAAATATTTCCCTCCTTTTTAAAAAATAATTACGTATCATTATTTTCCTAATAGAATTTAAAATAATCATCATCATTATCATCTATAATAAAGGTACAAGTATTTCCATGAACACAATCACGGTGCACCAATGCAAGATCTTTAAAAGGTGTTCATATTTGCCTTCATTAAGAGGCAAATACTCCTTAGATTCAACACAAAATATACTTTCTAAACGAGACATTTCTGTATTTCAAGTCAAGCATCATAAATAATACCCTAGGCTGAGTCAGGCATAATAATTATTTGCATCTTTTACACAAAGAAAACATTGGTATTTCCACTTTTCTAAAGGAAGTCCAGTATTGTGTAATTCAGGAAAACCCTGCCTTGCATTACTTTCAGTTTCAGTTGTCCCTAGCACAAATAGGAAAACCTTTCCCTTCACTTGAGCTACTTCTGTCAATGTGAGAAGCAGAGTGGGCAATGAAAACTCCAGCTGCAGTTTCCCTTGGGTCATGGCTGATGTGGACACATGCCAGGTGGGTGCCTCAAACACTCCCGGCTGGGCCAGACCCTGATCCTCAAGAGCCTGGCCCCACAATTCTGTCTGTCTTTATCCCCTGGATACTGCTAGCAGAATTAGGCAATATTTACTCAGAACTACCATACCCTTGAAGGGCTGTGAGAACACTCAGGCCGTTGTCCTGATCTGACGGCGACTGTGTCTCTAAGACTGTGTCTTGGTGTGACCCCAGAAAGTGTGAGATGAGCAGCAGACACAGGCGCCTCAAGGAAAAGCACTGGCAGCTGTCCCTGTGCCTCTGAGCCCAACTCCAGAACATGACCCATGGCAACTCCAGAACATGACCCATGGCAAACCCAGCAACCCTCAGGCACTGGAACTTCCTTTGCTTTATAAATCAGTTAGTTTTAATTGCATGCTGTGTTTTCATAGGCTGTCTTCATACGTACCTAAAAATTTCTCATGCTGCCTAACTGAGATAACACAGAATTTCAGAATAACATAAGGCAGTCTCCTGACTAATAGAATAAGCTAACAAAAAAGCATGCTATGATATACATTCTATATTTGTATAGTGTATGTACACTGAATGTTATATAATGTATATACACAACAGTAATATATATATACATATATATACATAGATGTAGGGATAGATAGATAGATAGATAGATAGATAGATAGATAGATAGATAGATAGATAGATAGATATAGAGCTTTTGCATGTCTTTATGATCTTTAGATGCCAAAGGGGATGGATTTGCTATAGCAAAACAAAGAGGAGTGGGCCAAAACGGGATTAGTAGTAAATCTCTCTGCCCGGCGTTAATCATTGCTAAGGGCAGTCATTTACCGCGCCGTAAACCGCGGCGGAGCCCTCTGTCAAAGGGGGAAAACACACTCCAAAGGGCCGGGAGGAGCCGAGCGCCGCCGCCAGGGCAGCCGGGCGACAGGGCTGGCTGCTGGGCCAGGGCTCCCGAGCCG